AACACATTAAAACTACTTATTCAGTAAGATACAAGATAAAAAATTAATCCTTTACATGATGGTTTTTAATGAAAGAAACTTTCTCTTGTCCACACAATTCCATTGTAACATACAGACTTGTTACCCTCGTGAAGAAACAGATACTACACGGCGCAACAACCCAGGAGACAGCAATCTTCATTATTTGTCGCAAATATCACTTCTACACAACCACTTACTTGACACCATTAACAGACATGAAAATATTCCTGTCAGTTTCTTAAATGCATGCACATTTTCTCAGTGTTATACACACAAACAGGAAAATAATAATCCATTAAAAAGTGTACTGAATATACTGATAACAAATACAGCACGGTTAGAACGCTGGGCTTGTAATACTGGGGTCCCAGGTTCGATTCCCGGCAGTGCTCAGATTTACAACTTGTGTTGGGCAAGGCAGTGGTCCAGGCATCACGGAGTTTTCCTCCAGGGTTTCCCTGGTTTCTCCGTGGCATCCCAACAATTACTCCACTTTCATCATCATCTCGCAAAAAGGGGGTCACAGCAGGAGCGTTAAATGTAACGGTCCCGGTCAAACCCATGTACTGATGGCTTGTGAATCCTGCTAACCACCAATGCACACCATGCTGAATGGTGTGTACTGGATACGAAAAAAAAAATCAAGGCGATCTACCAGACTACACGGCGCAATAACCCAGAAGACAGCAATCTTCACAGCAGAAGTTCATTATTACGAGAATTCACAATGCTTGAAAAATATCATGAATACTCATTATAGGCAATTAAACACCTAGGAAAAGAAAGGTTTCGTCCTGAACCAAACATGAAACAATTAAGAATATTTCTTGTTAACATTATACTGCAATAATTTTAATAAAATTAGTATGTATTCTACAGTTCTGTAACAGCATATTTATCTTGCTAACACTTATACTCAATTCAAAAAGAAAGGCATTTCAACCAGTTTAATAACTGCAAGAATTCATACTCAGAAATTGTTAATCTGAACCTCAACTTTCATAATTCCCCTAGTATACAATATGGACAGAATAAAATGACAAGTGATGACAATATTATGCCAATCTTTCATAAGCAGAATCTAGTGACAGTGATAATCAAATTGGCAGCAATTAAGAATCTGAGGGACAGCAGACAATAAACAGTGTTACAAAAGTGGCTTCAGTTACGAGTGGTGCGATGTTGAGGGTAAAATGAAGATCTGGATCCTGGGTGTCCCCAAGTGGCATGGTCAATGATTATGCAAAGAATGCATGAGAACCTTTATTGTACATGAATACAGGATTTAAATCCATGCATAATGTGGCTGCCAGATGAATTTTACGTTCAGGGTTAAAGTTTACCACACATCCAACTGGAATCTGCATAAGCCTTAATGCATGGCTAATAAAGAATAGCTTACATAATCACATAAATGTTATATACAAAATTCATACAATAGCCCTTTAACCAGTTGGAATTATGATATTAAAAATATATATTAAAAATTTACCGTCAATCACAATTATAATTGTGATTGACGGTAAATTTTTAATATATATTTTTAATATTATGAATCACAATATGACACATTTACAATATCTTTGGAATTATGAACTTTTCACATATCCCTAACTGCATTATATTCTATTCAGAAAAAAATGTAAATGGTCCTATGACGTACTGAACAATACCTTCAGATGGTAGCAAATGATATCGCTCGAGGTACTTCAATGTTCCGAGAGACAAATTTGTGGTTTTCATCGCAACATTGTAGAATGTTAAATCTTGCATTCTGTCAGCTCCTTTGCCTAGAAACACATGAAGCACACAGTTCTGCCAATGTCACTATTTATTTTTGGAAACTCATCTCTTTCTTTTTAATTTTGGTCCCAGTTGCAACCACAAGTTTATCATATGCAGTAATGGGAATGAAGTGTGTCTGGTCAATATGGAGCCTATCTTTTAAGTTAAAACTGATTGAAAGTGTACGAAAAAACCCAGAACAGAATAACATAAAAGTTTGATGTCTGTAAAACACATTTCTTTTAATACACAAATGCCAGTAATAACTGAATAAACTATTTAATGTTGCCCTAATAACATCTGAGGTTATTCTGGTGTTTGAGGAATGGTACAAAGTTATTGGATGACAAGTCTGTGAGGTATTATCTTGAACAGTTTGTGGGACGGGGCAGCTACGAAAATTCTCATGAGAATCAAGTCCGTGGGATCTGAGCTTTACTGCATCACAAGCATAAGATGAGTGCAAGTATGAATAATTTTTCTCTGTGGAAAGCAGAACGGCTCGACAAAATATGAAATGTTCTATATAATGTTTCATCGCTATCATTTAAACCAGGCCCGAATGCAGCCCAGACCTAAACAATATCAGTGCTATCAGGCAGAGGACTGGCCCACGCAGACCTCTTATATGTCACACACTTCTAACATCTGCTGTACAGGAACAAAATATCACAGAATGGTTTGTTTCTTGTGCAAATAATTTAAATTTGTTTTGTTTGCAAAATTCTGTGATTGAAGATGAACTGCAAGTTTTTAATATTGTCACAAGCCCCCCCTCACAACTTTATGTATACTAAACATTCTAGTGAAAGGTGGGACAGCTTTTGCTGTGATATAGAACATTTGGGATTCTGTAGTACAGATTCTATAAATACTGGGCTGCTAAGAGTGAGAAAAGTGTTGAGTGGAAACAATGCTTGTGTGAACCTAATAACTGGAGTGTGAAGTGCCAACTAAGTGACAGGGCTGAGCAGTTACTGACCAGCATCAGGAGACTGCAAAAAAAAGTGTTACAAAGTAGAAGATAACATTTGCATCCTAATAACGAGGGCTACGATCCATGAAGCAACAGACATTAGTCCAATAAATAATCAAATGTAATGAATCATGTTCTTAAACAAAAAACCCATTGTGTGATCACTGATTACATGACAATATTCTTCTGTATATTATTACTTTTAAATATTCTTTTACATTTCTATTGCAATATTTTACACCAGTCCTCACAATTACTGCAAATTTGTTCATGGTCATACTAGTGAATGGACTACATGTTGGTTCAAGAACATTGTAAAAGGGCATATTTAATGTATTTTTGTGTTTCAAGAATGAGAATAAACTGACCTGAATTCCTACTGTTGAACTGAAACATTGGAATAAAATATGTCACTTATACACAAAGACACAATATCTTAGTTACCTCGATCATCATTCTTGAGGTATTTGAGGGCCAAAGCATTAATGTGGATGCTGGTGTCTGACTCACTACTTTCAGAAGTAATGGGCATAACACCAAGGCGAGGCAAGTGCACTGAATCATACTGCTGTTCCCTGCAAGTCACAACCACACAATGATTAAAGCGGCCCATCCACGTACAAGTCTGACTTGCGAGTCCGGCTCAGCTCGGGTTCCATTGAGCCAAACTCGTTTGTGGGCGGGGTGTCACGAGCAGAGTCTGCTATCCATGTGTGGTGAAATATATCCGAGCCCGGCTCATGAGTCAAGCTCGCCGAGCCAGACTCGCAAGTCAGACTCGTAAGTAGATGGGCTGCTTAAGTGAGGAATGTAGAGCACTCAAAATATAAAATAGTGAAATATCACAACAACAATAACAAAAAGTTAATAAAAATGTCAACTTTGTAAAATATATCACATTCCTCAACCAGCTTCATATACTGAAATAGAGACTGGCAATCAAGCTTGCATTTTGAGTGATCAGTTTCACAAAACAAAGTTGGCAATATGCCTACATAATTAACCTACTAATGATGTTGTTAACTATCACTCAGCTACTCAAGAAATTTCTTGATTTTGTGGAACACGAGGTTCATCACTATGTAAAGGTAAAGGACAATATTCCGAGGCAATCGATCCATTTCAAATCCTCACAACTGATATCCCTGTGATACGTTAACACCATTTATTTGTAAGTCTCACAAATGGTCTCCTCCCTAATTATGCTTGTGAAAGATAAATAATTTGGCAGCAAAATATTATATATGTAGATATGTTGGAAGATCAGGAGTAAATAAATTGTTACATTATCTTTATTGGTTTTTTAATATTTAGTAATATAATTTTCCTTCCTTGTACCATTTAGTGGATTTCGCAACTTCTGACCTTCTGGGTTATCACACTGTGTAGCATGTAGGTGATTACCACCATTTCAGAAGAACCTACTGCTCCTGTCTTCAATATAACATCAGTAAACATATACAAGACTATACAGCATCATTCGCCACAAGACCACAATCCAAATCTCCACTCCAGTGAAAACCT